TAAAAAATATATAAAGATATTATGGCTTATATATCTCGAATCAATAAAAACATTTTTTGATAAATTAATAAGTTCATTATATAGAGTTTAGTAACACATTGTATCCCAGATCTACAAAAAACACAAAATGGTTCTTAGTATAATTCTTTCTGACCGCTTTAATATATGCTTAGAATTTTAATATAATTAAGAATAATTATAAAAGAAGCACTGGACAAGGGAATTGCTTCTTTTGTTGCTATGAAGTTAATAAAACATTATCCTGGTAAAAAAGTATGTATTAGAAGGCAAGTGGATGAATTGCTTCTAAGATGTTATAAGTCATGATGATCCTTAAATTTATGATAAAGTTTATCCAATTAAGAAGAGATGTTAGGGGTTGAATTCTTACATACCTTTTATTTATTATTATTCTTACATAAGTGAAGTAATAACAATTTTTTTGTTCTTTTAGTCAATGATAATAGGAGATTTTGATGGGAGGGCACATAAAATGTATCTTAAAAATAATTATTCAAGCCACCTTATCCTCTTATGTGTTTCTACATCACTTAATTATATTTTCCCAAGAAACACACATTCAATACTTCTAGATTAAGTTTACAATTTATTTATTTGGCCTTACTAACTGAACATCTCAATTTTTTATAGTGTTTTTTTTTTGAAACTTTTCACTTAAAATGTATAAAATCTGAATGTCCAAATCAAAATAATCACTTTTGGTCTGATACCCAACTTTGCCTTGGCGACAAGTGCTCCTTGTTAGGGATCAAGATTCTATGATCAGACTTGACCAGTTGATCGACACAACATAGTCGACCGAACCAATATTTTCAACCCTTTACTGGTAAAAGTTCAGCTAACATGAACATCAAATTTAGCTGGTCGAAAACCTTACCTGATCGGCCGACCATTAGGCCTCTTTAGCTCAGCCGACCGACAACGCCTACTAATGGCTCGCCCGACCAACCAGTATACTCATGGAGTAGCCATGCTTTGGGCTTATATATGTAAAATACTTATAATTCCCCTACAATCTCCACTAAAGCAGGGGTATAAATGTAACTTCACGCATTCTCTTCAAATATGAGATCATTCTTTGAATAAAAGGATACACACGTCTTCCAAATTGATGTTCATTACTATGCATTCCACTCTCTTTCTCTCTCCCCTTCTGTCTTACACTCTATTCCTTGAATGTGATTCACAGAAAAATCAAAATTGTACTGATGCGTGTCGAAAAATTCGTGGCGGTAGAGTAACGGATTATCGTCTTAGCATTGTACAAGAATTCTGCACACATTCAGATGAAAAAGAAAAAACAGTGACTACTCTAGAAGTTTTTACATAGAAAGCCCGTAAAGGGAAAAAAACACAGGGCCTAGCCCTATTGCGAAATTCCACTATTAATTAATAATTACAGAAATCCCTTATCCCACAGACGGGAAAAGGGTAACTATATTTTTCAGATTACGACGTTGACTGACAGCGTCTGATTGGTAGTGATCGATGAACTATTGGTGGAGGTCGATGACAATCAGTGATAGTCTTCAGCTGTCAGTGATGGTCGACTGCGATCAGCGATGGTCGAAAAGGGAGGTTGGCGGTGGTCGATGACGGAAGTCGGCAGTGGTCGACGACGATCGACGGTGATGTTGAACTATAACTTATCCTCCCCCCCCCCCCCCCCCCCCCCCCCTCATGAGAGGGATGTGACTCTATTTATGGTGTTACAGGTGCAATTAATTTAGGAATATGAATCATTTTGATCGGGCGATCCGGAGAGCTTCCCTTGATCATACAGCGTGAACTGAACATTTGAGTGTTTTAATGATGTCAGAATTGAGTGATCTTGGGCTCGTTAGATCGTCTTGTCGAGTCGCTCAATTCGAATATAAACTTGTCATATTCGACAACCCTTTGATCTTTCAAATGTATCCAAAAATCATTTAAGTGTGGTTCAATGACTTGATCTGGGCTTGATTTGACTCAAATTGGACTAATTTTCATATCATTATGTTCGTCTCATCAAGACAGTTAGTTTAACTATAAGTTTGCTGAAATCGAAGCTCTAGATGACTTTTTATAAAGATTTGAATGTTTCATGCTTAAAATATCGTCTTGAAATTCGTGTCATGCCTCGAGATTAGTGCCAAATGATGAAAATTTGTTGGTGACGTATCATGTACAATACCAAACACAATTTTTATAAATTTACATATCTCACACCTAAACTTTCATATATACATAGCACTTCGGTGCTTCGAATTTATGCTTGATGTTAGGTATGGATCATATACCATAATTGGGACAGATGATGAAGCGATTACATATCTCACACCTAAACTTTCATATATACATAGCACTTCGGTGCTTCGAATTTATGCTTGATGTTAGGTATGGATCATATACCATAAATGGGACAGATGATGAAGCGAAGCGAAGCCCACGAGCTGAGTGGAGCGGAAGGATCTGTCTAATAGGGAGAGTTTCATTATGTGGGTTGCGGGTGCAGAGGCAACACCCTACGATTTGGTACAAGGGTAATTTAAGTAATTACATATTGTACTATAGGATTATATATATGTCGTGTTTGTAATGTCGTGTTTGTAACCCTAAGTGAGTCTCTGAGTCTCTGAGATTCTGAATCCTTGAATATTGTAACCCTTTTCTGAATATTGAAAAGAATCACCGCTCTACTCCCATCCCGAGGACGTAGGAATCTTTGTCGAACCTCGTTAAATCTTTATTTTTCTTCTGGATTTGTGTCGATTCCTGTTTTTTCTTCACCCTAATTTCTCAACAAGTGGTATTAGAGATATGTTCGAGGTTCGAGGGAAGGCAGGGAAGAAAAATTTTAGCTGCGTAGGAACAAAGAGATTTTTGGCCGAGGAGTTCGGCGGCTATGGCGTCCATTTCGGGCGGAGGAAGTTTGAAGGCTAAGCGGGTTTCAAAGGTTAGGCGGATTCGCGAGCAGGCGGCTTCGGTGACTTCGACACCGGTAGTTAAATTGCGAATCGCGAATCGCTGGCATCACGCCAATAGGGAGGAGTTTGCGAACTGCAGATTTGGATCGCGACAGAGAATCGTCGTTTTCAGGTTCACGACATTCGCGGTTTACAGGATTGTTCGGCGGACTTCGGCAGTCACCGCGAACAAGTGCGGGCGGAGCTGTTCGGCAGTCGAGCGGCGGAGGATCGTTCGACAGTAGTCATCGCGCAGTCGAGCGGCGGAGGAGCAGAATTGGAGACGTAGAAAGGGAGATTCACACGGAAACGAAAAGTTTGCGGGAAAGGAAATTCAGCGCCAAGTTATTCCGGAGATATTCCAGGACGCGGAAAAAGAGGAATCTACTGCTGCACTCGCGAAAGAAAAAAAATTTCTTTTCTGAAAGGAAAAATGAGTTTTTCTGGAAAGCGGAGACGGAGCTTTTCTTAGAAGTTTAAGAAAAAGGATTTTTGTGAAAGTTTAATTAAAGAAAATTTAATTAAGGAAAAGTCCTTTTTTTTCTTAGAAATTTAAGTAAGGGAAATTCTTTTTTTTCTTGTAAACTTAATTAAAGGAAACTGTTAAAGAATCTTAATTAATAGATTATTTAAAAATATTTGTGGCCCAACCCACATTGATGCATAAGAAACTTCATGATATATTTACCTTAAGGGGCTGAATATTCGCAATGTGGAGATTTTTCTTTTAATGCTGGATATTCACAAGGTGAAGATTTTCTCCCAAGGAGCTAAGGGAATGGATATTCGGCAAGATGAAGAATTATTAGGCATATATATTTCTCCTAAATGGCTGAATATTCGCAAATGTGGAGATTTGTCATGCATATGTATTTTCTCCTAAGGGTTTGGATATTCGCTAAGGTGGATATTTTTTAGACATATGTAGTTCTCCTAAGGGGCTGGATATTCGCCAAGGTGAAGATTTGTTAGGTATGACTCATATAACATGAATGTGACAGATGCTGGAGCGGACTGGAGCGGAAGAATATGTCCAATTGGGGGAGTTCATTATGTGGGTTGGGGGTGCGGGGGCCACACCCTGCGGTTTGGTACAAGAGTAATTTAATTGATTACATATTATACAATAGAGTTATATATATGTCATTTTTGTAACCCTAGGTGAGTCTCTGAAATTTTGAATCCCTGAATTTTGTAATTCTTTTCCGAATATTGAAAGGAATCGCCGCTCTGCTCCCGAGGACGTAGGCATTCTTTGTCGAACCTCGTTAAATCTTATGTTCTTCTGGATTTGTGTCGATTCCTATTTTTTCTTCGCCCTAATTTCTCAGCACTTGAAATAACATGTAGTTCACTTAAAAAAATGATAATAATGCTATTCTTAGGTGATACTAAAAGTTTAAGCATTACATATGTGTGTAAACATAAAAGTTTAGTGATGAGGCACGTAAATACATCTAAATTGTAAAATTCTCAGTACTGCCCTTTAATTAATTGCCTTTCTTTTTTGGTGAGGTTAGCACAAATATATTATTGCTAGCACCTTGGATGGCATGCCACATAGAAGAGCCAACGGGACAGCAGATCTGATTTCCCATACTTAAGCAACATCAATTAATTTGTATCGTTATTGCTGATTAATTTTTAATAATTACTTATAATATTTGACATATTTATTTGGTCAGCTAAATCAACATGATCTGATATTTTAATAAATAATTAATTATAATGCAAATGCCAAAATTTTCACAAATCAAATTTTTATTTAAACCTGTTGGGTGCTTTGTCTGAGTGAACTAACAAGTTAAACGTGGCCTACAAATGAATCCTATGATGGCTATGTAGTGTTAATTAATTAATTATTTTTTTAATAAGTAATCGTGAACGCATGGCTGGTTTCCCTCGAAAGCCAATTAGCCATTTTCCGATTTTAATTAATGATGATGGCATTTTAGAAAATTTTTCAAGAACTAAGGGTGAGAAGTAAAGTAGTGTAAATCGCCTTGTCGCTGTTTCCTGCTTAAATTCATCCACCGTCTTGCTTCCTGCCATCCTGAAGTATCGCGTTCTGCACAGCTCAAGGATGATGGAGCACGAAAACTCTAGCAATGGAGCAGCCCTTTCGATAGCTGAAAACTGCAGCGGCGGCGCCGCCGTTGCAGAGCTCGAAGATGGTTGCCTCGACGATTCGGCTGACCACCCCGACGCCGATGGATTTACGGAGGAAATCGACAGCACGTGCTCCACTCCGTATGTAAGCGCGCCTTCAAGTCCCGGCCGCTTCCCCTCCGTCGGAGGTTACTTCTTCAGCGCGCCGACTAGCCCAATGCATTACGTACTCTCCACCCCGCCTTACACTGTTTCCTCATCCCCTGTTACCGCCCAATCTGATGCCTCCTTCAACGGATCGGCCGAGTTTGAGTTCTCGGCCAAGTACGCTTGCCTTGCCAGCACCGGAACCGTCGGATCAATGACCTCCGCCGACGAGCTCTTCCACAACGGCCAGATCCGTCCAATGAAACTCTCTTCTCACCTTCAGCGCCCCCAGATCCTTGCGCCTCTCCTTGATCTAGACGAGGAAGGTGAAGATGTGAAGGAGATGGGCGATTCGGTGGAGAGGGGACGAGATCTGAGGATGCGGAGTAGATCTATCCATAGGCGAGCCAGATCCATGTCACCGTCGAGGAACACGCGGTTCCAATGGCAGATGGAAGGCGATGAAGGAGAGAAGAATGATGCGAAGGAAGAGGAGACGGATCCTGACAAGGGATCCGAAGCATTGACACCTTCTGTCTCCACTTCGTCTTCCAGATCGTCCTCATCGGGAAGAAACTCTAAGCGCTGGGTGTTCCTCAAGGAACTCCTGTACCGTAGCAAGAGCGAGGGGCGAGCAAACGCCAAGGAGAAATTCTGGCACTCCCTTTCATTTTCCCCTTCCAAAGACAAATCAAAGCTTCCGCCAACCGTTCCACCACTCTCTTACGCTAACCACAACTCTGAATCATCTCAGAAACAGAGTAGAAAGAGCGGATACTTTTCATCAACATCAACCGATTCTTCGAAGCAGTCTGTCCATCGGCACCACCAAAGAAAGGCGGCGGCAAGCGCCGCTGGCCGGCGCCCTCTCCGCACGAGAGGCTTTACACTGCGAATCGCGCGCAGACGGAAGAGATGCGTAAAAGGACCTTTCTTCCCTACCGCCAAGGCTTGTTCGGCTGCTTAGCCTTCAACTCGCGCAGCTATGGGGCCATGAACGGTTTTGCCAAAACGCTCAACCCCGTCTCTTCAAGGTAAATTCTTCAAAATTCCAAAAAAAAAGTAAAAAAAAAAAAACCTCCAGAATCTGTATAGCTCCGTCTTTCTCACTCTGCACCACCCCCCGCCTCCCCTTCCTCCCTATATATTTTTCTTTTTTTTTTTCTTTCTTTTACTTTTGAATCTAGACTATGGGAAGCAGCGGTGCGAAGAAATCGTGTATCATTTTGTTGAAGCCAATATCTAAAGCCATTTTCGGCAGGTTTTGCTCCTGGTTGATAATTTCTCCTGTGTTAATTTATCGTGATTGTAAATTTATCATCAGAAAGGTCTGGTTTTTTAGACCGGAAAAGAGTTAGTTTTTGGTAATATGTTCAGCCGTTGGAAAACATCGAGCTAATCTGTGGTCCCTAGAGCTTGATCTGTCACTGTCTGCCCCCTGTAGTTTTTAATAATATGGTTAATGATCCAGCTATTTTTGGGACGTTAACATTCCCACCCTCCAGAATTATGTATTTATGTATATCTATAACACCCAAAGTTTCATATATATCAAAATAAGGTGGTATGTATGTAAAATGCAAATTTTAGGTGTTGGATGTGTAAATACATTAAAATTGAGTTCTATTTATGTAATCTATCATGTTCTTATACGTGAGAAGTACTGCTAATGCACGTGACGTGTTGGACGAGTTGGGTGCCCATTGGAAGAAATTTTGAAGGGGTATTTCGAGGCTGATAAAATTGGTGGCCCGGGTGTGAGGTGGCCCATTGGACCATGCTCTTAAATAAAAATGAAAATAAATCCATCCAAAAATAAAATCATGCTTGACAATTTAATGGAGCTCAGGGAGGTCACCTTTACACCACATTTGAAATTCGTACGTACATTTTCTTTGAATCATTTTTGATATAAATGTTGCGGACCGGAACGATCGCGTGGTTGTAAAGTAAATGCTTATCATCTTCATAGAATGAGAATATAATACATATTTAGAGAATACAATAGAAAGTATCCGGAGATATTTCTATTTTCATGTGAAAAATTCAGAAAAGAAGAAAATCATCTTCATAGAATGAGAATATAATACATATTTAGATAATACAATAGAAAGTATTCGGAGATATTCCTATTTTCATGTGAAAAATTCAGAAAAGAAGAAAAATTTATGGGGTCTATTTTAGTTGAAATAATTTACTATATAATTGTGAGTTTATAGGTTTATTCTTTTCTTGAATTAAGAAAGATGTTATCACAAGTTTTATTTTGGCTGTAGTGAATGTAGTTTTTTGGTAATAGCATGTTTTAAGGGTCATGAAAGTAGTTGGTCATGTGAGTCGTAGATAATTGTTTCGTGAATGTTGATTGTTCATAGAGGTAGTAGTATGGAGCTGCAGGATCTGTGATTTGTTTAGGCCGTAGTTGATCACATAGGTCGTAGCAGTTAATCACAGTGACGTTCGTGAGCCGCAAAGGATGGAGTTGGGGCTGCAATAATGTTTGTGAGCTACAGAGGCTGGAGTTGAGAGCTGAATAAGCTGTGAGTCATGTAGTCCATAGTTGATCATATAGGCCGTGACAGAGAGTTACATTGCACTCGATGCATTGTTACATGTCTTTGTAGTGCATTCCTACACTTTCTTTGTATCATGACACCGTGTGTGGGTGCATTCCTACATTGTCTTCGGGGTGTATTGTTACATCGTCTTTGGGGTGCATCATTGAATCATCTTTAGGGTGTGTTGTTGCATCATCTTTGAGAGTGTTGTTGCACCATCTTCGGTGGTGTTGTTGCATCATCTTTGAGGTGACATCATTATACAGTCTATTGGGTGTGTTCCGTCACTGTCTTAAAAATGTGTTGTTGCACTGCTTTCAGGGTATTTTGCCACACCTTCTTTGGACTGTGTTGTTGCGTCGTCTTTGGGATGACATTATTATAGTCTTCGAAATGCATTATTGCACCGCCTTCAAGGTGTGTTGCATCTTCTTTGGGGTGGTGTCGTTACATCATCTTCAAGTTTGGTTATTGCACTGTCTTCAAAGTGTGTTGCTACACCGTCTTTGGGGTTTATTCCTGTACCGTCTTCAAAATGTGTTGCTACACCGTCTTCCGGGTGCATTTCTGCATCGTTTTTAGAATGTGTTGTTGCACCATCCTCAGGATACGTTGTTGCATCATCTTTGAGGCGTGTTGTTGTATCATCTATGGAATGGTGTTATTACACTATCTTTGAGGTGCATTGTTGTGTCATCTTCATGGTACGTTATTATATTGTCTTTGGGGTGACATCGTTATAACTTCTTTGGGGTGCTTTGTTGCACCCTCTTCAAGGTGTTTTGTTTAATCGTCTTTGAGGTAGCGTTGTTACACCATCTTCGAGATGTGTTGCTACACCATTCTCAGGGTGCGTTGCTGCATCATCTTCGAGGTGTATTGTTACAACGTCTAGCGCTTCATTACTTCACAACATAAGTTATAATTTGTGGCACACGTCATAATCTAGCTTCTTTCGTTCATTATTTAGGCTGATGTTTAAATCCCATCTTAATAAGTGGTATGGCTCTATTTATAGTCTAGGAGAAGTCTCCCTATAAATAATCAAGGAATTTGCACTACTCCATCGGGTGATCTAGAGAGATTTTGTTGATAGACAACATTATGTAAACATTTGAGTGCATTAATGGAGTTGTAATTAAGTGGTCATGGGCTTGTTGAATTTGTTTTGTTGAGTGGGCGATTCGACTATAAATTGATGCTCATTCCAAATTGGAGTTTCCCCACTGAGCTTTTAGAGGGGATTCTTCGTAAAAGAAAATGGACTTTTTCTGTCATGAGGATATTTTCTAGATGAGCTTTTAAAGCAGCCCAAGTCACAAACCTTGAAGGATCAGTTTTCTGATCTAATTGAAAATGAACTTCAAATGGTGAAAAGGCGCTAAGGAAGCATTCTTTGCGGTGAAGCTTGCTCACCATTCTAGAAGTGGTCTTCGAAGACTTGATATCTGAACGGAATGTAGGATAACTTCTCTACCATAGTCATGCATGAGACGTTAATTTGAACGATCTTTCGAGGATGCAGTGAAAGTTCCCCACAGCCTTGATTAGTTTGCATAGACTTTTTGTTTGAATAAGGTGTGTGGAGATTGTCCTACCACAATCATGTCTGGGATGTTAACATAAATGACCTTTAGAGATTACAAAGATGGTTGCCTTCTACATTGAAGAACGTAAATAAATAGTTTTAAAAAGGTGCAATGGAGGTTTCTTCATTAGTTGGACTATGTATATCATAGAAAAATAAAGCAGTGCTCGACATCTCAGGCTTGAAGACTGTGCTGAACGAGACTTCGTGTCCCATAAATGGCACCAAACTAATAAGTGTTGGAAGGTTTGCAGTAGTAGAGTGATTATTTAACATCTTAGCATTATATGAGAATCTAGCACACATTTATATAACAAAAGAGAATAAAGCAAGAAGAGACAACGCATTTTTCGTGAAAAATCTCGAAATATGAAAAATCACGAGGTCTAGCCCAATTTAAATATTCTACTATAAAATTATGAGTACATAATTTCACATTTCTCTTGAATTAAGGAAGATGAAGTTATAAAATTGTAAAACAGTTGACCGACTGACCTCTTCCGGCTAATCGACCACACCTGGGTGAACACCCGACGTTCAACGATGGAAACTCTGTAGATCGACAAATCCGAGCAAAAACTGAAATATCTTATACCACACTCCAAGCAATGGCATATTTGTAATCTTATTTTTCCCTCATTTTTTACTTCTACTTCTATAAATAAATTACATTTGTCATATGTAAAGTCTCCTTGACTCTCTCTCTCTCAACTCCCATATAAGGAGAACACTCCCTTTCTTCGTTTTTGTAACCATAAAGTTTAGTGGGATGAAAGCGCCCGGGAACACCTCTTTTCACCACACACTCCTCCCCGCAACGGGGCAAATCTCGCTTTTTCGCTCCGTCTCTTTCTTTTCCCTTCAGATTTCACATTCTATACCTCAGGAACATATGTGAATTCAATAAAATCATATCTCAAAATTCATACAGAATAACATATCAATTAAGAATATATAAAAAAACTAGAAAAACAATTATATCTACGATTTTACAAGTTCAACGAGGACCCTCATCACTGTGCTTCCCTCATTGCCGTGCAGTGGGCGCTACTCTGCCTCCGCCCTGAAATTCCATAAAGAGACCTGATCATTGCAGCCCGGACCATTAGGCCAAAATTCCTATTCACGACATCGCCGTTCGCGCGGTTCCACAATCATCGGGACGCACCGCCCCTTACCCACTATGTACATTGTCGGTCACTTCTGCCTGATTCTTGATGCACCTTTTAATGTCTGGAAGTGACCATGTCCGCAAGTGACAGGCTGTGATTCATTTACGTGGCATTGCGAAAATTGACGATAGATGAAAAGGTCGATTCGCTTGGTGGGTGTCCATGCGGGGCTACGAGAATTAATGAGGGTTTGTTGAGTTGCGGCAACGTGGGTTACCGCTGGGCATGAGATGGCGACGCCCTATAAATTATAATCTATACAGTTTGATTATAATTAATTCAATCTAAATAATTGTGAGGAATTTGATTTAAAAAACAACGGGAGAAGGGTTTAGATATGGGTGAAAATTCATTAGATGTTTCACACTTGTAACGTTATATGGGTGAAAATTCATTAGATGCTTCACACTTGTAACGTTACTTGGAAGCTACGGGAATCTCTTTGCTTTTATTTCTTTATTTTATTATTACTATTTTTTTTTGGGAAGATTTTGTCTTGTAATGTTTTTATTTGAATAAAATCCTTGTTAGCGGATTCATTTCAATGTAGCTTAAATTAGTTTGAATTGCTACAAATTTCTATTTGTATACAACAAAAATACTAGCATGATTCTTAAAGAGAACGAAAGATCAGGATGAAAGAGTCTCTTGTCGAGGCGAACAATCAACCGACGATTCAAGGTCGAGCATGAAGCCGCGTCCCCAAATTCGGGATAGGTTCAAGCTCTGTAAATGATTACACGCTCGTTAACAACAAGACCCGTTAAAAGCGAGGCGTAAATTATCTCGACAATGAGTTTTGTCGGAAAACCTGCATAGGCTGTGACAAAATTCGCCTAAGTCTTTGCAAGCATGAGAGATCTGACCGAGACGACGAACCAACCAGACAGGCGAGACAATTGAAAACCCGACAATATGGGTGTCTGCCCTAAGTAAAATCTACGTTCCAGACACACTC